TTAATAAGGTTTTTATGCAGCTTTTTATTAATAAGGTTTTTATGCAGTTTTTTATTAATAAGGTTTTTATGCAGTTTTTTATTAATAAGGTTTTAATGCAGCTTTTTATTAATAAGGTTTTTATGCAGTTTTTTATTAATAAGGTTTTTATGCAGCTTTTTATTAATAAGGTTTTTATCCATCCATCCATCCATTTTCTTCCGCTTATCCGGGGTCAGGTCGCGGGGGTAGCAGCCTAAGTAGGGAGGCCCAGACTTCCCTCTCCCCAGCCACTTGGGCCAGCTCTTCCGGGGGAATCCCGAGGCGTTCCCAGGCCAGCCGAGAAACATAGTCCCTCCAGCGTGTCCTGGGTCTTCCTCTGGGCCTCCTTCCGGTGGGATGTGTCCGGAACACCTCACCAGGGAGGCGTCCAGAAGGCATCCTAAACAGATGCCCAAGCCACCTCAACTGGCTCCTCTCGACGTGGAGAAGCAGCGGCTCTACTCCGAGTCCCTTCCGGATGATCGAGCCTCTCACCCTGTCTCTAAGGGAGAGCCCAGACACCCTGCGGAGAAAACTCATTTCGGCCGCTTGTATCCGAGATCTCATTCTTTCGGTCACAACCCAAAGCTCGTGACCATAGATGAGGGTGGGAACGTAGATCGATCCGTAAATTGAGAGCTTCGCCTTTTGACTCAGCTCTCTCTTCACCACGACAGACCTGTACAGCGCCCGCTTCACTGCAGACGCTGTACCTATCCGCCTATCGATCTCACGCTCCATTTTTCCCTCATTCGTGAACAAGACCCCAAGATACTTGAACTCCTCCACTTGGGGTAGGACCTCCTCCCTGACCCAGAGAGGGCACTCTACCCTTTTCCGGCTCAAGACCATGGCCTCGGATTTGGAGGAACTGATCTTCATCCCAGCCGCATCGCATTCGGCTGCGAACCGCTCCAGCGAAAGCTGTAGATCACGATCTGATGAAGCCAATAAGACCACATCATCTGCAAAAAGCAGAGACGCAATCCTAAGGCCACCAAAACGGATCCCCTCAACACCTTGGCTGCGCCTAGAAATTCTGTCCATAAAAGTTATGAACAGAATCGGTGACAAAGGGCAACCTTGGCGGAGTCCAACTCTCACTGGGAACAAGCCCGACTTACTGCCGGCGATGCGGACCAGGCTCTGACACCGGTCATACAGGGACCTAACAGCCCGTATCAAAGGGCCCAGTACCCCATACTCCCAGAGTATCCCCCCACAGGGCCCCCCGAGGGACGCGGTCGAACGCCTTCTCCAAGTCCACAAAGCACATGTAGACTGGTGGGGCAAACTCCCACGCACCCTCCAGGACCCTGCTGAGAGTGTAGAGCTGGTCCAGTGTTCCACGGCCAGGACGAAAACCGCACTGTTCCTCCTGAATCCGAGGTTCAACTATCCGACGGACCCTCCTCTCCAGAACCCCCGAATAGACCTTACCAGGGAGGCTTAAGAGCGTGATTCCCCTGTAGTTGGAACACACTCTACGGTCCCCATTTTTAAATAGGGGGACCACCACCCCGGTCTGCCAATCCAGGGGAACTTCCCCCGATGTCCACGCAATATTGCAGAGTCGCGTAAGCCAACACAACCCTACAACATCCAGAGCCTTAAGGAACTCTGGGCGAATCTCATCCACCCCTGGGGCCCTGCCACCGAGGAGCTTTTTAACCAAGAACAAAATCTTTGAGGTCTTTCAGTCTGGTTTTAAGCAACTCCACAGCACAGAAACAGCTTTGGTTAGGGTTTGCAATGACATTTTAACTTCAAACGATTCTGGTCACTATGTGGTACTTGTACTCCTTGATCTTACTGCTGCTTTTGACACCGTCGACCACAGTATCCTCATCTCACGGCTCGAACACTGGGTTGGGATTACAGGAGCTGCTTTAGACTGGTTCCGTTCTTACCTCTCTGACAGGACTTTTTGTGTCAAGGTTGGTGAAAGTCTGTCCACTTCGGTCCCTCTTTCCTGCGGGGTCCCACAGGGCTCGATCCTTGGACCCCTTCTCTTCTCGCTCTATCTGCTCCCACTGGGATCCATCTTAAGAAAACATGCCATCTCATTCCATTGTTATGCCGATGACTGCCAGATCTACCTGCCACTGAAACCAGCCAGTGCTCGTTCCATCCACCCTCTCCTCAAATGTCTAGATGACATTAAGGCATGGATGACTTCAAATTTTCTCAGTTTTAACGACCAGAAAACTGAAGTCATCGTCTTTAGTCCTAGCTCAGCTGCCTCCTCAGATCCTGCAAACCTGGACTCACTTCAGCCCTATCTCAAGCACAATGTTAGAAATCTCGGGGTGGTCTTTGACTCGGATTTCAAGTTTGACAAACAGATCAGTTCAGTTCTGCAGAAAAGTTTTTTCCAACTGCGGCAGGTAGCTAAGCTCAAGCCAGTGTTATCCAGACCCAACCTTGAAACATTAGTCCATGCCTTCATCACAACCCGTCTGGACTATTGTAACTCACTTTATGCTGGGGTCAGTCAGGCATCCATTTCACGTCTCCAGCTCGTCCAAAATGCAGCTGCTCGGCTTTTAACTGGTACACGTAGGTCTGAGCACATCACACCTGTTCTGTCCTCCCTTCACTGGCTTCCTGTGCGATCCAGAATCGACTTCAAGATTCTCCTCCTGACATATAAGTGCCTAAATGGCCTCGCACCCCTCTACCTCTCCGAGCTCCTGGAACCATATGTTCCGTCTCGGGCCCTGAGATCATCGGACCAGCTTCTTTTGGTCGTTCCAAAATCACGCCTGAAGCTCCGAGGGGATCGAGCTTTTTCAGTCAGAGGTCCCAACCTGTGGAACAACTTGCCCCTCAACATCAGGCAGGCCTCCTCCCTCCTGATGTTCAAATCCCTCCTTAAAACGCACCTGTTTGCTCTGGCGCTTAATACTGTGTGAGTTAGTTTATTTTGTTCTGTGTACCTCATTTTAAATTCTGTTGTTTTATGATTGACGTTTATTTTTACTGCTTGTTTTTCCTTAGTGTGATCATTAGTGTGTGTTATTGCTCCAGTAATTTTAATTCTGTATGATGTTTTTGTTTTGCTGCCTATGTTTTGCTACATTTCTGTTAAGCACTTTGATAACAGTTTATCTGTTTTAAATTGTGCTCTACAAATAAAGATGACTTGACTTGACTTGACCTCGGTGACCTCAGCACCAGAGATTGGAGAGCCCGACCCAGAGTCCCCAGGCTCCGCTTCCTCAGTGGAAGACGTGCCAGTGGGATTGAGGAGGTCTTCAAAGTATTCCGCCCACCGATCCACAACATCCCGAGTTGAGGTCAGCAGCACACCACTCCCACTATAAACAGTGTTGGTGGCGTACCGCTTTCCCCCCCTGAGACGCCGGATGGTGGACCAGAATCGTCTCAAAGCCGTGCGGAAGTCGTTCTCCATGGCCTCTCCGAACTCCTCCCATGCCCGAGTTTTTGCCTCAGCAACCACCCGAGCCGCATGTCGCTTGGACTGCCGGTACCCATCAGCTGCTTCCGGGGTCCCACAGGCCAAAAAGGCCTGATAGGACTCCTTCTTCAGCCTGACAGCATCCCTCACCGACGGTGTCCACCATCGGGTTCGAGGGTTGCCGCCGCAACAGGCACCGACAACCTTGCGGCTGCAGCTCTGGTAAGCCGCCTCGACAATAGAGGCACGAAACATGGTCCACTCAGACTCAATGTCCCCCACCTCCCTCGGAACATGTTCAAAGTTCTCCCGGAGGTGGGAGTTGAAACTCCGTCTCACAGGAGACTCTGCCAGACGTTCCCAGCAAACCCTCACAATACGTTTCGGTCTGCCAGGTCTGACCGGCATCCTCCCCCACCATCGGAGCCAACTCACCACCAGGTAGTGATCAGTTGACAGCTCCGCCCCTCTCTTCACCCGAGTGTCCAAGACATGTGGCCGCAGATCAGATGAGACGATGACAAAGTCGATCATCAAACTGCGGCCTAGGGTGTCCTGGTGCCAAGAGCACATATGGACACCCTTATGCTTGAACAAGGTGTTCATTATTGACAATCCATGACGAGCACAGAAGTCCAACAACAGAACACCACTCTTGTTCAGATCAGGGGGGCCGTTCCTCCCAACCACACCCCTCCAGGTTTCACTGTCATTGCCCACATGAGCATTGAAGTCCCCCAGCAGAACAAGGGAGTCCCCAGAAGGTGCACTTTCCAGTACCCCCTCCAAGGACTCCAGAAAGGGTGGATAATCTGAACTGCCGTTTGGTGCATTAGCTCAAACGACAGTCAGAACCCGTCCCCCCACACGTAGGCGGAGGGAGGCCATCCTCTCATTCACCGGGGTGAACCCCAATACACAGGCACCAAGTTGGGGGGCAATAAGTACGCCCACGCCTGCTCGGCGCCTCTCACCAGGGGCAACTCCAGAGTGGAAGAGTGTCCAGCCCCTCTCAAGGAAACTGGTTCCAGAGCCTGAGCCATGTGTAGAGGTGAGTCCGACTATTTCTAGCTGGAACCTCTCAGCCTCACACACCAGCTCAGGCTCCTTCCCCACCAGTGAGGTGACATTCCACGTCCCAATAGCCAGCTTCTGTAGCCGAGGATCAGACCGCCAGGGTCCCCGCCCTCAGCCACCACCCATCCCACATTGCACCTGACCCCTTTGGCCCCTAATAAGGTTTTTATGCAGTTTTTTATTAATAAGGTTTTTATGCAGTTTTTTATTAAGGTTTTTATGCAGTTTTTTATTAATAAGGTTTTTATGCAGTTTTTTATTAATAAGGTTTTTATGCAGTTTTTTTATTAATAAGGTTTTTATGCAGTTTTTTATTAATAAGGTTTTTATGCAGTTTTTTATTAATAAGGTTACCTCTATAAGGGCTTCCATCTTTCGCCCAGACTCTGACCCCTCTGTGTGTGTCCCCCGCTCTGCTGCTCAGTTTGAGCCGGTGACTGTGTCATCTTTAGAGGACATGGTCGCTCAGATGAAGCCCTCTGGTTCTCCATGTGATGCTCTTCCACCACACTTTCTTAAAGAGGTTCTCCTTGTTTTGGACACTTGGTTCTTGCCCTTTTTAACAGTAGTTTATTATCTGGAGTAGTCCTTGCTCATTTTAAACATGCTGTTACATTTTATTATTATATTATTATAGATATATATATATATATTATATATATATTATTATTAGGCTGTTATACATTTTATTGTTGGATGTAACTGGGACCCTGTGTACATAATTTCGCTCCACCACATGTACCACATGAGGAGCGAATGACAATAAAGAAACTCTGACTCTGACTCTGTTGTGCAGCCCCTGATAAAGAAACCTGGTCTTGATCCCACTGTGTTGGAGAATTTTAGGCCCATCTCTAAGCTTCCCCTACTGTCAAACATCTTGGAGAAAATTGTTTATGCTTAGTTAAAATCCTTCCTGGATGAACATAACATCATGGATGTGTTCCAGTCTAGGTTTAAAACTCTCCACAGCACAGAGTCAGCTGTGCTCAGAGTTTTTAATGACATCCTCCTGGCATGTGACTCGGGTGATCATGTGATCTTTGTGTTACTGGACTAACTGCTGCGTTTGACACAGTGGACCACAGCATGTTATTGTCACGTCTACAGCACCAAGTAGGCATCGATGGGACTGCTCTGGGGTGGTTGGGGTCCTATCTGGCAGACAGAACATTTTCTGTAAAAATTGCTGGGTGTGAATCCTTTTCTGCTCCTCTGCCATATGGGGTTCCTCAAGGATCAGTTTTAGGGCCTTTGCTTTTTTCTTTATATCTACTTCCTCTAGATCAATCTTTAGAAAACACAGCATCTCCTTTCATTGCTAGGCTGATGATTGCCAAATCTATGTGCCTTTAAGGTGAGTTGATGCCTGATCCATCAAACCTCTTTTATCATCTCTCAAGGATCTTAAAGCTTGGATGGCCCTAAATTTTCTGCATTTTAATGAAAAAAAGCCAGAGGTGCTTGTTTTTGGACCTAGTGGAGCTTGTCCGAGCCCTCCAATTGACATAGACCCCCCGATAATGTACATTAAGTCCACAGTTACAAACATTGGTTTTAAGATGGACAGTGATTTTAAACTGGACAGCCAAATTTGGGGGAGTGGTGGCGCAGAGGTTAGAAGATGGGCTTGCGATCAGAAAGTCGTAGGTTCACCTCCCGGTACAGTCAACATCAAAAAATGTGGGTGGAAAAGGTGAAACACCCACACCTCCCTCCACCCTCATTCGCCCCACTCTGGGCCCCTGAGCAAGGCCCTTAACCATCTGCTCCCTAAACAGGTCTCTCTTGAAAATGAGTTCTCGTAGCTCAATGAGACTACCTGGATAAATAATACCTGGATATATAATACCTGGATAAATAATACCTGGATATATAATACCTGGATAAATAATACCTGTATAAATAAAGGGTAAATGAAAAAAAAAAAGAAAAAAAAATAAGAGCCACAGTCAAGTCTGGTTTTTATCATTTGAGAAAAATAGGAAAGGTAAAATCTATTCTTTCAAGGAAACAGTTTGAAACAGTAATCCATGCTTTCATTTCATCACGGCTGGATTACTGTAATTCTCTCTATCTCGGAGTCAGCCAGTCCTCACTTACACGTCTGCAGCTGGTGCAAGATGCTGCTGCACGTCTTTTAACAGGAACACGTAAAAGAGATCACATCACCCTGTCCTGGCTTCTCTCCAATGGCTGCCCATGTATTTTAGAGTTCATTTTAAAATTATTTTGTTTGTTTGTAAGGTTTAAAACAGCCTTGCCCCCCCCCCCCCCCCCCCCCATTTAACAGAGCTTCTACACCACTACACTCCACCTCGGTCACTCAGGTCTGCTGACCTGCTGCTTCTGGTCATTCCCTAGAGTAAGAGGAAGCTTGATGATGTTGATGATGGTGATGATGAAGGTGATGATGATGATGATGATGAAGGTGATGATGATCTTCTTCTTAGCCTCTCAGTTTACATTCCTCACCATGAGGCTGAAGGATAAGCTCCACCCACAACGAATCAGACGCAAACACAGCCCCACTCAGGACAAACCACCTGATCTGTCCCTGAATCTGCAGAAGAATCAGGTAAGCACAGTACACACAGTACACATGGTACACACAGTACACATGGTACACACAGTACACATGGTACACATAGTACACATAGTACACACAGTACACACGATACACATGGTACACCCGATACACATGGTACACACAGTACACATGGTACACAGTACACATGGTACACACAGTATGCACGGTACACACAGTACACATGGTACACAGGGTACACACAGTACACATGGTACACACGGTACATGGTACACACGGTACACACAGTACACATGGTACATATGGTACGCACAGTACACACAGTACACACGGTACACACAGTACACACAATACACATTGTACACATGGTACACACGGTACACATTGTACACACAGTACACACAATACACACGGTACACACAGTAGACATAGTACACATGGTACACACAGTACACACAGTACACATGGTACACACAGTACACATTGTACACATAGTACACACAGTACAGACAGTACACACGGTACACACAGTACACACGGTACACACAGTACACATTGTACACATGGTACACACGGTACACATTGTATACACAGT